ACAATTATCACAATAATTAGAAAAAAAATAATAAAGAATCTAATTTTTCAAAATTCGTTCTTTCAACTATCTTTTGAAAAAGAATACTTTGAATTTTTGCCCTTAAAAATTTATTAAATTTGTAAATTCAGATTTTTTTCATCTCCTGAAAAATACTGAATATTCTTAAACATGTTATCCAGGCATATTCAGATGGAATAATTATTCCTCCCCTATTGACTTTATTCAAATACCTGAAATCTGAATTTAAGTCATTTTCTTTTTTTTTCAGAGATCAAATATTCTCTACATTACTGGCATTTTGTAGTGTTGCTGGCAGAATGGATGATGGCGCCACAAACACAGGACAGTGTGGAGCATTCATCATCAGTTTATCATCATCATCACTGATTATGATGCATTCAGATATATCATTAGCAACATCATTCAATTCATATAACTTGTTTTATCGTTTGAAATGTTAAAGTTTTGAACTTCTTTTATAGAAAAATCTGAGTGTTTCAAAAGTGAAATAGCTCTAATTTTTCTATCACTGCCTACAAAATATTTAATAATTGCCGTATCCATCCAAATCGATTGAATTGAATCAGATTGTATGTTACCAGTTGAAATATAACTGAAGCTTAAGTCATCAAACAAATTTTTCATTCTTGCCATTATATTGTAATTTCAGAAGTTTTTTGGAATTTTTCTTTGGCGATACCCACATAACTTGATTTTGGTAAAAGTTGATCTTTCAGATACAACTTAAATGATTAGTCATGATGCCTCAATGACTGGTTCATTTTCAACATTTACCTTAGCAATTAATAAAATTTCATCTACCAAAGTTATGTGAAAATTGGAAGGTTGTGCAGTTTTTCGGCAACCTCCTTAATTGATATATCTTGGATATTTTTTTCTTTCTGAAAATTTTCATTCATTAAATTTAATCTGTGATTTTCAGAATTGATTCGCTGTTCTTATATGGCCAATCTGGTTGGTCTTTCTGATTTTGATGTGTTTAAATATTTTGGTGCATTTTGAAATATTGAGGGAACAGCTTCTGGTTTCAAATGTTTTACATTTTTATTTGACCTAGCTTTTTTCCTTCCGTGATAAGAATCTATTGATTCATGTATAAAGTCACTTATTTGAGAATTTGAATATTTGGTCGGTTCAAAATCTTGGCTAGGATTTGCTGCAGAGCTCTGGATCATTTAAAGGATATCCATGCATGCTGATTTCAGGATTCGTGGCCTCATTATAACCAGTTCTACATCCAAATATTAAGCATTTGTAAACCATTTTTTCTGTAAATTATATAATAAGTTTTAAATTTTTAGTTGATACAAAATTAAATTAAAAAATTAAAAGTAAATTTTAACATTTACGTCTTTCATATTTAGGTTTTTGATTAAATTAAAAATTAAATAAATTTATATTCTATTAATTGTAAACCTAACGCTTAACAACGTTAATTGAATTCAACTTGTACAAATAAAAATTCATACTAATGTTTTACATTTTTATTTGACCTAGCTTTTTTCCTTCCGTGATAAGAATCTATTGATTCATGTATAAAGTCACTTATTTGAGAATTTGAATATTTGGTCGGTTCAAAATCTTGGCTAGGATTTGCTCTCGCCCATTTGCTGCAGAGCTCTGAATCATTTAAAGGATATCCATGCATGCTGATTTCAGGATTTGTGGCCTCATTATAACCAGTTCTACATCCAAATATTAAGCATTTGTAAACCATTTTTTCTGTAAATTATATAATAAGTTTTAAATTTTTAGTTGATACAAAATTAAATTAAAAAATTAAAAGTAAATTTTAACATTTACGTCTTTCATATTTAGGTTTTTGATTAAATTAAAAATTAAATAAATTAAATAAATTTATATTCTATTAGTTGTAAACCTAACGCTTAACAACGTTAATTGAATTCAACTTGTACAAATAAAAATTCATACTAATTTCTAAACACTTTATCGATAATGATTAGCAGTAACCCGTGCGCGAAAGTTCAAGTAAATTAATCCGCGAATTATATTATAGTTTAAAGTTATATAATAAATTAGTATGGTAGTAGTATTCGGTTTGTTCAGTTTAGGAAAAATTGGACACTTTATTCATGCATTAAACAACCACTATACAATGCTCTATTTGATATTGAATCTTGAGTAGGACTTGGGACAGACTTTGCCTCGATATGTTATTGACGATATACAAGTTGATAATTATTTTTAAGATGCGTTAAACAAATTAAAAACGACGGATTATAAAAATAATGCAGAAACCGAGCCTGTAGCAAATTCACACTTAAAAACTGTTGCTAAGAAAACGGCATAAAGATTAAGATTAATGCGTCTTTATGCAAAACAAGCGGTTATTTTTATAGCTCAAAATACTAACCCTCATTTTTCTGTAACATTGAAAAGACTGCATTTTTTAACACTAATTATACTTAGGATCCATTGGAACTCTTTTTGCATTAAAAAGCTCATCCAGAAACATTTACATATATTTACTTTTTAAAATAGATGCAAATTACAAAAGAATTCAGTTTAGTGGCAAATAAGCAAAAAAGTATTCACAAGTGACGTTTTCTCCTATCCTTGCAAATCAGAACAACTCTGCGAACCATATCTAAGTTCCCTTTATTCTGATTTTTCTAACGGTTGATCGTAAATTATTTTCAAGTTTCAAAGTTCAAAAGCAAAATTTTTGTTTATTTCATGCATGGTAGAACAAAAAAGCTTTTTTCGGTATTCCTATACCATTTTCGGTGTTCGAATTGGTACGTTGTGTATATGAACGTATGCTTAAATATAAATATATACAGGTTTTAACTGGGATTTTTATTGTTAACATTTTTTTAATTATAAAAATATTTTTTAGTAGGAAAAAGAAAGAATGCAAATGATAATGAAGTTCAAAATGAGATCAGTAGCGATGTCATTATTGAGGATAAGGTCTGCGTTTGGGTTTTTTAACATTAACTTTTTTTCTTAAAAATCAATTTTATTGTTAAAAAAAGAATATTAGTTTTATATTTTATTAATTCATTTTCGTTTTAATATGTGTTATTTTTAAAATAATATTAGAAAAATTAAAAATTAAAATAATAAATAACATAATATATATATATATATATATATATATATATATATATATATATATATATATATATATATATATATATATACTAATATAAACTATTCTGGAATGGTCAAAAGACGGCCAAAAATGGTGTTGGAATTTTTGTCAGAGAACCGCTAGACCAAGAAGTACTGGATATTAAAAAGATTAATTTACAACCAGTGGATTTAATGTGGATCAAGCTTCGCCTAGAAAATCAATCAATGATTTTCGCCACAGAAATGAAAAATGACTTCTGGGCTGCGTTCTCTGACACCATCTCAACAATACCAAAATCTGAAACAATCCTGATTGGAGGCGATCTCAATGGCCACGTTGGAGAGAAAACAGATGATTTTGACAACGTACATGGCGGTTTTGGCTATGGAGAACGGAATGAAGATGGCAACTGCATCCTTGAGTTTACTGAAATTCACGGGTTTTGTTTAATGAACACATATTTTAGAAAGAGGTTCGAAAATCTCTTTACTGAAATTCACGGGTTTGGTTTAATGAACACATGTTTTAGAAAGAGGTTGGAACATCTCTAAACATACACGCAAATTGATTTCTTCAAGTTTCTTCTGTCAAGCAACAACACCGAAGGCTATTCAAAAAAGTCGAATCATGTGTCGCCCAACATAGACTCCTTGTGGCGGACCTGGTCGTCGAACTGTCACAAAATAAGTCTAAACAAATGCTTCGAAGAATCAAAACGTGAAAGCTGAAAAGCAATATTCATCGAGAAAAATTTCAACAGATTGACCACCAATCGCAAGCCAGTACAGATTGGAGTAAATACAAAACCTTTTTGATAAACGTTGCAACTACAGATTGTGCGAAAACTGGTACAAGACGTCTGCGTGAACGTACACTTGGTGGTGGAATGACAGTGTACAAAATGCAATAGCTGAAAAGAAAGCTGCATACAAGCAATGGCAAAAATTAGTCTGTTGATGACCATAAAATTTTCCGTGAGAAGATCAACTAAGCAAGACGTCAAGTCGCACTGGCTCGGACAAATCAGTGCAGAGAGTGGCTCACTAAAAGCAAAGGTGTATCTCTGTATCGTATAGCAAAACAAGCAAAGCGTACGAAAAAAGACATAGTTGGTGCCTCATGTATCAAAAACGGCAAAAATGAGATGGTTCTTGAATGAGATGAGATCAAGCTACAGTGGAGAGAATACTTCAACCGTCTGTTAAATGAAACAAATCTCATCAATGTCAACTTTAACAAAGTTTTTATAATTATAATATTACAATTATATTATAATTATATAAAGTAATGTAATATATATATTATTGTATATAATTATAATATTATTGTCATATAAATATAATAGCTTATATATACTATTAATTTTTTGCGACCTATTTTAAAGCTATGCCATTGCTTAGCATTGCTTGCTAATCCTAAAATATATGAAAAAACTTTTTCGGTGTTAATAAAATATTAAAAAGTAAAAAAAGTAAAAAAAATGTAACTCTTTCGGCTGGGTTTTTATTTTAATATGTCAAAATATAGATAAATGAAATATAGATGTTGTAGAATATTCTTTCGCCAATGTTTATAATCAATGTTAATTTAGTGAAGCTGTGACGCCTGGATTACCATAATTGTTGATTGAATTCACTTAAAGTAATAATGTTATATTTTAAAATGACAATTTTTTAGATATCATATAATCAACTATATATCAATGTTAATCAATGTTAATTTAGTGATGCTGTGACGCCTGGATTGCCATAATTGTTGATTGAATTCACTTAAAGTAATAATGTAATAATGTTTTAAAATGAGAATATTTTAGATATCATGTTTATTATTTTTTATCTTTCGTTTTTAGGTCATACTCGGTGATAATTTCATAAACTGTGGTTTGTCAAGTAATTGTCCAAAAGATCACTTTCCTGTTCGAATGTACACAGGAAAAAAGAACACAGAACTACCAAAGATCTGTTTTAAAGGAAGATAGTTAGTTGACGTAGCGAATATGTTTTTAGCTTTGTAGAATTATTTTTCTATACGTTTTTCATTGGCTAATGCATCAATAATGTGAATGCTTTTATTATTAGTATTTTTTTTTAGTTTGAAAACTATGGAAAAAAGTGCCAAACTATTTTCCAACTGCAACTGTATCTAATAAAAATATTTTTAAAAAACTTAAACCAATATTTGATTTACATAATTTTCATATAATATATAATATAATTTTTAAATATTTTTTAGCGTAGTAGCTCAGGATTTGAATGATGCTGGTCGAGGTGTAATCGTTGTAGTCGTCAATATTGAAAGCGGTGCAATTTTGAATGTGAAACGATTTGACACTTACGAGAGTCGCGAAAGTTCGTGATTTTTAATTCTAGTCATCAGTTCTGCGATAACTATGTTTTAGTAATCATTGACTTATATTTAGTAACCGCTGTAAATCTAATTTATTAAATAAACTTAATGAAGTTTTATACGTAAAGCTCTAGCGTTTACTACCTCAACTTTTGTTCATTGAAGGAGATCTTAAACGAATTTATTCCGAACGTTTAAATGTAAGATGGCTGCAGAAAACTGTTTTGTCGATTTGTAATTACTTTTATAACGTGTAACCACAAAACGGTTTTGATCTCAGTTTTTAATCTAGTAAACTCGACTCATCTGTTTAGTATTTTACATTCAATTTTTTAAGTTTATTCTGTAGCTAGCTGCTTGCATCAATCCACAACAACAAATTCGAAATAGCAATGTTTTTGAATCCATTAAAATAGAGAAGTCACATCATTTCAATATCTAGGGGATGTTCTAGATTGTACTGGAACAAACAGCTGAAGCTGCCGTTCGAGCACGCATACGTGCAGCCTGGAATAAATGGCATCTCCTTGTCTCTATATTGATGCGACGTGATATCCCACTACCACTAAGACTTTATAAATCTGTGATACGTCCGGTGTTGTTATGTAGTGCAGAAACATGGCCAATGACAACCAAACTGGAACAACAATTTCAACGAACCGACATGAAAATGCTCCGATGGATGCAACGAATTAGTTTGAAAAACCACATTAAGTACCGTCGTGCTGGTTTAGATGATATAAAGGACGAATGCTGGCAACACCGTCTGAGGTGGTTTGGTCATGTCAAACGAAGTGGAAACAGTGCCATAACTTCTCTTGCAAATGTTGAAGTACCTGGTACACGTCCCAAAGGCCGTCCAAAAAGGTCCTGGTCGCAAACAATCGAGCAAGACATGAAAGCTCTAAATTCAAATGAAATGGATACAACTGATTGTCTAATTTGGTGCAAAAAGTTGATGGCAAAGAAAACAACGTCCTACCTCGGGAAACTGGGTCTCTGGACGCTAAACGAAGATTGATTGTTACTAGCTAGATAAACCATGGGCCGAAGACCCAGGCCTCCATTTAAAAGATGGGTCTTTTCTAACAAACAAATAAAATGCTATTCTATTTCATTATTAAAATAAATAACTCAAATTAATTTTTATAGTCAATAAAAAAGTTTTGGCCTGCAGTTATAAATTATAAATTTTTTAGAGTGAAAAACGAGTAACATTTTTAAAAAAGACAAAAAATTAAAATTGCGCTTTAAATTTCATTCGATATTTTACAAAACAAGAAAAATTAAAAATTGCGCTTTTAAACATCATTTATTATATTGTTATAACCGTGCTACCGAACGCACTAGATTCTAGCGTATTCTAGAATGTTCTAGTGACTGGAGCATTCTAGAGTATGCTAGAATCGGACCATCTAGAAGAATCTAGAAACGACGCTTGCGAAGAGTATATAAGCGCACGTCGCAAGAAGATTAGCGATTAGTGAAATCCGTGATTAGTGAAATCCGTGATTTTGTGAATAGCGATTCGGTGAATTATTTAAAGCGATATTTGATTTGTTTGTTGACGTTGTCATAGCGATAGATTTTGAACAATTTAAAAGTTAATTGTTGCGTTAGTTTAAATTTGCTGAAAATAAACGATTAGTTGATTTCTTCTGTAAATAAAGTTTAATAACTAATAACTGTTTGGAGTATCGAAGATTTGAACCCGTCGCATCGTAAATCGGTTACGACAGCGAGTATTATAACAATATTATAACTAGACAAGAACGGGTTACGAAAAAAGTGAGGAGCTAAATGGTACAAATTTTATCTAGATTAATTTTTAACTCTTTGTTTGCCTTTCGTCTTTTGTCATCCACAATACAAATGCTGCTGGAAACATCTATAGACGAAACACTGCAGAAGTTACCAACTATGAATGATCGTGTACGTCAAAAACCAATGGTAACAGCTCGACAATGACACACAACGCCGTAACGTAAAAATCATCAATAATGTATAAATTTCAAACATCAACAAACAAAAGCTACGGCAGGCAACAACAAACAATAGGGAATCATGTCGCCTTTTCTTCGTCACTGATAACATTTCGAAGATAAAGAAAGAAGATAAAGTTTTAAAGGTAAGCATTAGACCTTCACAACAACATCCTCAACGACCCAAATCACCCTACAGGCTGCAAGTCGTAAACTGCATTACCATTACACATGGCCGACAAATCGTAACCGTTGACCTTCGTGAAGTTTCAATAGATTTTTATCGTCGCCAACGTCACACAGGCAATATTTTGCGCCGACTTTTTGTCACACTTCAATATTACAGTCGACTTAAAAAGACAAAATTTTTGACGATGTCACTACACTAAAAATGACGTAGAAGGACCAAAGATGCATAGATCTGAACTTCGTGCCGCTCTTTCCAAAATGAAATCAAATAAAGTGATAAATAGTTGTTGAAGAAATTAAATGCCTTGATGAGTTTGGCATTGAAAAAGTGACAGAAATTTTGAATGAGATTTATAACAGCAGCGAAATTCTTGAAGATCTCTCCAAGTCATTATTTATTGCATTGCCTAAAAAACCTAATGGAACAGAATGGGAACTACATCGAACAATCAGCTTGATAACATCTTGAGAATTCTGATGATGAAAGCAAGAAGCAAAATCAGATCTGAAATTTCAAACGTCTAATGTAGTTTTGTCGAGGAATGGCACAAGCAATGCTATCTTTATGCTACGAATGATCAATAAACAAGCTATTGAAATGAAGAGACTTGTTTATCTATTTTGTCAATTACTTCTAAGCTTTTTATAGCGTGTAACACGTGGAGCTTATAGAAATATTGGAAAATTTCGACTATGATATAAAAGACACGAGTGTTATCAAAAACCTCTAATGGGACCAAAGAGCAACGATGAAAGTTAGTAAGTAACATGATAACTAGTTTTTTCGAAAAAAAGGAAGGTGTTAGGCATTCTCTCCAGACCTGTATAATCTCTATAGTGGGATCATAATAAAAAAGATAGAAGATCTTCCGAGATTATTCTTTGGAGGCGTGTGTATAAACAATGTAAGATACAGCTATTACAGTTCTCTTCCGGCTAAACCACTATCTAATAACTTCTTATTGGTATCAATATAACCAATTTTTTTAAAACTATTTTGTGAGTTATTTTTTCGGTCTTCAAATTTTACATCTGGTTAATTATGACAGAAAATGGATTTGGACCTTATGTTGTTTATTATGGTAAAAGTAGATGCCAGTAAAAGCTCATTGAAATGGTACGTCCAAGATTTAGCTCATTCTATCTAATAACTTCTTTTTGGTATCAAAGTTAACGTTAATTCCATCTGACCAAATTGCTATTACATTATACAAATAAAAGTGACTTTTAGGAAATTATGACGACAAGAACTGCATTGCCTCATCTGATAACATGACTTAATGTCTGTCTTTGTCTATTTAGATTATTTTTGTCTATAACTGCTGTTATATATTCTGTTAAGTTTATCAGTGACTCAATCTACAAAAGCTAGTAGCGATTGATGCTTCCGCTCTATCAGAGATGCACTCTTTTTGATAATCATAATAATAATTATTTAAAAAAGTATTTAAAAACAAATGCTTTCAATTTTAGTGGCGGTAGGTGAAGATGAATGCTATTTTTATCAAATTTCTAATAATGATCAGGACCAACCTTTTTTTTTCATCAAAAAATTTTGTGATCCTCCCACATATATATATATGTATATATTTTTTTAAATTTTGATCCAGGTGAATCTGACTGTTTGAATTCTCGGACCCGCGTATGCGCTGAGTTTAATTCAATTTAACAAAGGCATTATTCTTGAATGCTTTTTTAACAAAAATTTAATATTTTTTGGCTGTGTTTCTATGTAAAAAAATTTGAATAACATTTTTTTACATGTTTTTCTTATTTATGAAAATCAGACAGTGCTAAGTTGGTGAATCTCTTAAAATTGGTATCTTCTTCAGAGTTTATAATAGCTATCGCTCATGACGAAGCGCAGACTGCGTGAGTTTACGTTTTTTTCATACTATGTGTTTATACTAATGATAACGACAACCTAGTTTTAAAGTTTTTTCCACGAATTTTATGATATGGTCGTTAAATTTTTTTAATTGCTAATTGGTTCAATTTTGATGACTGGAAATTAATTAAGAACAATTATTAATGTTTTTTTTTATTTTCGTTGTCATTCAATCGTTTTGGTTTTTGAATCTCAATAATGTAACGATACGCTATTCCTATAAATCTGACAAATAGGAATTGAATTTCATTACGCTCAATCTTCACCATAACAATCTCAATAACATTTAATTAACATTTAAAAACTTTTGAAATCTAACTGCAAAATTCATTATTTGCTTAATTTCAAATGTTTTGTTAATATTTGAAGTGCTTTATTACTATTATTATTTTATTTTTACTACTTAAATTAGTCAAACTGTTGTATAGTTGACATAATAATCCAGCATACAATGAAACAGTCCTTTACTTTTTTTGTAATATCATATGCCTCGAAACATATTTCTTTCTAATAATTGACTGCTTCAGATTTAATTTATTGTTTTTTTTATTTATTGCCAAAACTGTCATTGTGAACCCAGTGTGACCGTTTTTCAGCGAAATTTTATTACAATCATCTTATTTATTTTTTGGTTTTAGACTATCTGATGAAGCAAAGAACATATTGACATCTTTTGGCAGTTCCTTTATTTCTAAACTTGGCTTCCGAGATGTTTGGGTATTTGTTGGCAAACCTAATCTTTCTGGATTTTCTCCGTATGAAGATGTTAGGAATTGTTGATTTGAAAAATGAACTTTTTTTTGTACGTGACATTGGTGAACGTTGGATTTGATGATTTAATTTTTTTATTTCGCTTTTTATTTGATTAATTAACAAGTTTCAAACAAAATGTTTCATATAGGTTTGATTTTTGATCATTATTGTAAGATGGGATAAATATTTTAAAAATTAAATTTTTAGAAATTTCCAAAACACTCAAGAAATTGTTGGATAAAATAATTATAATATAACTGATTTTTGTATTGCAATTTTTTCATTTTTATGTTGCTTCAAAATTATTATTTTCATCAATTTTTCTTCACACCGTTAGATTGAGCTGGGAGGAAAAGACACATGGCCTTTCTCAATTGACGCAAAGTTTTGTTTGAACAAAAAATGTACGGATTGTTTCTTCGTTACTTTTGTAGTGTTTCTTTTTCATCGATTACTAATTCCTGATGTTTATTAATTTAACCTATTAATAGTGATAATTATATTAGTATTAATATTAATAATATTAACTATTTAAATTAATAATAATGATAATATTAGTATTACTGATAATTTATTTATTAACTTATTTATACTTATAAGAATGCCATTATTTATTATTATTATTATGTTTATTAATTACTATTATTAAGGGAAATGCACTCGCGCTTGCGCTGGGTTACATTTTTTCATTTTAAATTTATTATTATTATTTTTATCAATTATTATTATTATTATTAAGGGAATTGCGCTCGGTTACATTTTTTTATCCTAGTTATAAAGAGAAATTTCTAGATAATAAAAATTTTTTTTAGTTCCATGTCATTAAATACGTTTTGTTAACACCGAAAGTTATTTTTTAAAAGTTATTTTTATTTTTTGTTTATTTTTAAGGTAATAAAGTGTGTGCTCCGCCTACATATTCGTCTATCTGATCTTGACCATACTCTAAGAAACTTCTTAAAAATCGGTTATCGACTTTCAAACTATTATCAGCACTCGTTTTTAAGAAAAACGAGGTTTTTAAAAAATGCAGATATACTCAGCAAGACTTTGGTGGTCCACAGAAGATACAAAGTTCTTATACTTTGTTTATTTGCTACAAAAGTTTCTTCTTCAGAATTTTTCAAACAAATATAAGATTGTATTGTAAAAGTATATCTGCTTGGAAAAATTTTTTAACCTACATTTTGCGTTCTTTTTTATAATTGATACCCAAGTCAAAATCGTCGGAGCATCACGACGTTAACAGGGCGTGAACCTTTCAGGGTGGGGCAAGCAATACGTCCGGTCCGGTAATCCTCGGAAAGAGCATGTTAAGGTTACTGAAGCATCATTATAGCAAACAGTAGATATTTGCTATTTAAAAAAAAGTTCGGTATTTTGGTCAGGAAATGATAAAGCTGACTCATGAGTGGAAATAATGCTAAGTGAACATTGTATAAATTAGGTGGTTGTAATAGTAAAGGAGCAGCTCAGGTGCCGAAAAGCTGAAATTGTAAAGTGAGAGATTGTAAACGCCAAATAAATAATAATAAATGTGTGATAAATGTTAGTGAATTGTGATTCGGAAAGCGATAGTTTCTGAACGTTAATTTGATAGTTTGTGAACATTAACTTTTATTTGTAATGTTAACGTTGATTATTGATTGATTATTGTTTTGTAAATAGATAAATCGATAATTTGGAAGACATGGGCTATGTTGACTGCAAACATAAGAAGGCTGGAGAGAACAGAAATGGCACATGTTGAAAAAATTATGGGATTTTCCTTGAGGAATGTAGTGCGGTAATAAAGAAAGGGTTGTTGATAGATATAAACTGAGACGGTTTAGCTATGTGGAGAGGAAATCAAATGAGGAATGTTCTACTAAGCGAAGTCCCCAAATGGTTTGATACATTTGTGAAATGTGGAGCAATTGTAACTGGCGATTTTAAGAAGTGGCACCTGGGAAAAGGTGTTGTCAAAGACATGAGGGAACTGGGCCTGAAACCAGAACTGGCCCAGAATAGAAAAAATGTTAAAGACGGTTAAATGTGCGCGATCACCTGTGGTTTTTGTCAGTCAACCATGAAACGAAAATTGGGTGGCTCTGCCTCTTTTCAGCGCCTTTAAACATCATCATGACGATTATTATTATCATCATCATCATTTTTATTATTATCTTTATTATCATCATTATATTATTATCATCATTATTATTTTTATTAATGTTATTATTCGATAACTTTAACTAATGATAATTTCAAATGCGATGTCAAGTTTATGGAAAAGTAAAAATTATGTTATTTATGTAAGATTAGCTTTCAATTTCTTTCCCATTTTTTCCAAATTTTTCTAACATATGGCTGTATTTAGTCTCCTAAGCCCCTTACAAAGTCATTATTTGTTTGAATCTTATTACTATTGTTATATATATATTACAAAATTTACGTAGTTTATGGCAACATGACGAAATTAAATCTTTCATTACGTAAGAATCTGGAGAAACGAGGTTTTTGTCGCAAATATGATGGATATGAAGAATTTTGTTCAGGTTGTTTTACTTTTGATTATTTTTTTAGCTTAAATTTTGATTTAATAATTACTAGTACAATTATCATGTATGTAAACACTCACACCCAAACATGCACACACATTCAAATGCATTACAGAAGAAGTATTTGGTAACGTCATTATTATTTAAATCATAAGTTGACACAGTGACGTGATGAAGTGACCAGTTAGATCTGTTTGAACGAGTTTAAGCATAAATCAAGGTTTATCGAGCATAAATCACAAATCAACTTACGACATTCTAGACTTTGCATTGCAACTGCGGATAGTCAAGAAAAGTACTGAAAATGACGTTAGGAAAGAAGTGACTGAACTGACTGGTATATTTTCTGGACGTTTTCAATTTTTGTACTTAGATACTTGTAATGTTGTTTTTCACACAGATGAACAGTATTCTAACTAAGGACATACTGTGCAGAAAACGCTTTGGAGAGCAGGTTTTTATCTTTGGATCTGGTTATTAAACGTCCGCGTAAATGTGCATATCGAAGTTGTTTGTCAACTATTACACCCTAATCTTTGAAAGAGTAAGCAGGTGCTAAAGTCTGTTGATTATTTGATGAGGACTGGTTACAGATCTTGATGAAGGATTAAATGAACAATAATAACATTTGTCTGAAAAAAGGGGTCACTGCCATTTGATATTCCAAGCGACTACGTCGTTTATAACTTTTTGAAATGGAACAAAGTTTAATGAGCGGCAATATAACTTGATGTCATTAGCAAAATTGAAACGGTTTTAGATACAGTAGACTTAGCTATGTCGTTTTTGAAAATTAGAAATAGGGCGAGTACCAGGACGCTACTCTGAATAACTAGTACAGAAGTACGCTACTCTTGGGAACACCTCTGATAACTGGCACAGAAGTTGACTACTTATTTTGAACTCGATTAAGCTGAGAGCGTTGCAATAAAAAGTCGGTCAACCAGGAAAGTTAATTACGTATGAAAGCAATTTACCAAGCAAATTTACCAAAGCAATTTACCAAGCAAATTTACCAAAAACACGCAATTTACTATTTGCTTGGTGTCAGACTTTTTGAAAAATTTTTTGTTGTCGAATTGACTTCTAATCTTTGAGAAATGGTAGAATGTTGGTGGATCTAGTATCAAAAAACCATGTTGAAAGTGTGAAATCAATTTGTTGTCAGACAAATAAAAACTTTTTGGTGATTTTTTTTCATTACCTGGCAACATGAACACGTAAGCGAAATTGGTCTGTAGTTGTTGGAGTATTTTGTTGGACCTTTTTTATAGATTAGGGTGATGGTTGCAGTTTCCATCTAGTTGGAAAAACAAAAAGATATATAAAAAATATGACATAATGGAACTGTAAAAACTTATACAGTAGGCAATTTGGAATACTATCTGGTCACATCGATGGTGTGTTTTTTAGATTATGCAAAGCTGAAAATATTATTTGAGAAGTGAAATAAATCTTTTATTAGTTTTGTGGTGCGGTTAGGCAGGGAACAGTTGATTTGGCAAACACGGAGGCAAAATATTTGACGAATGCGTTGACCATCACCGTCGGATCATGTTATGCTATTTCAAACTGTTTTGTATAATATATAATCTAACGAACAAAGACTGTTATCTATATATAATGTCTTTGTTCGTTTATTTATTTAAGCATTAAGTTAAGTATTCACGTAAAACAAACAAAGAATTAACATTGTAGGGACGCAGATATATATAAATACTTAAGCATTCGGCCACATACACCACCTATCAATTCGAACACCAAAGATGGTTTTAGGAATACCGAAAAAAGCTTTTTTTGTTTTATTATCCTTAAATGTTCTATCATGCTTAAAATAATTAAAATTGTTGGTTTTGAACTCAAAAAACATGACAATGTATTACGAAAAAAATAAACAGAAAACTTTCTAACGCGTAGTATGCTCTGATTTTCATCAATAATTGTATGTATTTCTGACTACTATGTAAAATATATATATATGTATATATATATATATATATACATATATATACATACTTATTTATTTATTCAATATATATAATATTTATATATGTATATAATATCTATATTTATTGTGCAAATAGTCCTTTTTCCATTTTTCACTAGGAAAATATAACATTATATATATGTAGACACAAGCAATAATAACATTTGTTTTGCCTAAAATGCTTTTCTGATCAAACAGTTTTTAAATTAAACTCGAATCTCGCGCAAGTTGATTTTTGAAAAATGTCCAAAATCTGAACCGATGATCTTTAAAATGAAATGAGTTTTGAAAATCTACAGCAGTCACAAACTGATTTTGCACTTAATGATCATAGAATGGAAGGCTATGGGCCATCGTGTAAAAAAATTCCACTGGTACTAAAAGTTACTGTAATCCGATTTAAGTCCTGATTCTGTAAGCATCGGTCCAACGTTATCAATATTTAAATGGCTGAAGGTTATTTATTTAATTTCTCGGGATTTGTGTGGTCGGAACTTCTAATCTGTGTTTTTTATTGAAAAGTCATACAAGCTCTACAATATTGTCGATTTTTGTTGTTATTCCTATCTGGGAACCAAATATTTTATGAAATAATTTGTTCGCCATATGCCCTTCAAAGGTGCATCATGTTCCACACGTAACATTGCCTAGATCTTCGGTTTAATTTTGTAGATTTTTTCTAGCGATAGAGTAGTTGATCCTTTGTCGAATAAATACGTTTTCCGATATTAGCATATTCCGAATATTTTATACGATTTCTGTTATTTAATGAGTGTTGCTACCACGTCATCTAGTTCATAAACAATTTTATCATCATTATTTGAGTCGTCATGATTATTTTTAATTAGGTTATCTTTATTTACTTTGTTATTAGTTATTTGTTGTCTCGTGCCTTGTTGTCTCTTAGTAATTTATCTGTAACAACAGCATCAAGTGAAGCAACCACGTCTGCTGCAGCAGCTGCATCCACTGTTAATGGCGTGAAAGTTGATGATGTGTTTTATGATGTAGACGTTTTTTATTAATTAATTAATTAATTAATAATGAGGATCCTGGGTATGACATAAAACTGCATCCACGCTTCCTTGTGTGCTTTTGAGTGAAAGGCTAGGCCCGCCGCTTATAACTGGTGGTTGTCGTCAGGATGGGTGTCCGGATGTAAAAAACTTTTCCCCAAATTTTTCCTATGCCATCACAAAGAAAAACAACGGCCCCTAGTCCCCAGCAGGCCTTAAGTGGTCAAGGGGTGCCAAGAATCCCTGGGAAATGTGCAATAGCAGAGGGATGTTGCAGAAAAATTCAGAACGGCCCCTCTATGGTACTTAGACTTGGAACGCTCAATGTTAGATCACTGACTGGCCGCAGTATGGAAATCGCAGAAATGCTCGAGCGTAGAAGGATTGACATCTGCTGCCTTCAGGAAACCCGATGGAAATCGAATGGTGTCTGTCATGTCAACTCAGACAAAGAAAAATATAAACTATTCTGGAATGGTCAAAAGACGGCCAAAAATGGTGTTGGAATTTTTGTCAGAGAACCGCTAGCCCAAGAAGTACTGGATATTAAAAGGATTAATTCACGTCTCATGTGGATCAAGCTTTGCATAGCAAACAATGATTATTTTTTCTGCATACGCACCACAGACAGGCAAATCAGAAGAGATGAAAAATGACTTCTGGACTGCATTCTCTGACACCATCTCAACAATACCAAAATCTGAAACAATCCTGATTGGAAGCGATCTCAATGGCCACGTTGGAGAGAAAACAGATGGTTTTGACAACGTACATGGCGGTTTTTGCTATGGAAAACGGAATGAAAATGGCAACCGCATCATTGAGTTTGCTGAATAAATATTTTACAAAGAGGTTGGAACATCTCATAACATATATAAGTGGAAATTGATTTCTTCATTGTCAAGCAACAACACCGAAGGTTATTCAAAAACGTCAGTTATACCTGACGAATCATGTGTCGCCCAACATAGACTCCTTGTGGCAGACCTGGTTGTCGAACTGTCAAAACATAAGTCTAAACAAATGCCTCGGAGAATCAAAACGTGGAAGCTGAAAAGCAATATTCATCGAGAAAAATTTCAACAGATTGTCGCCACACAGTTAGACCAGTACAGATTGGAGTACATACAGAACCGTTTTGTTGAACGCTGCAACTACAGTTTGTGGGAAAACTGGTACAAAACGTCTGCGTGAACGTACACTTGGTGGTGGAATGACAGTGTACAAAATGCAGTAGCTGAAAAGAAAGCTGCATACAAGCAATGGCAAAAATTAGTCTGTTGATGACCATAAAATTTTCCGTGAGAAGATCAACTAAGCAAGACGTCAAGTCGCACTGGCTCGGACAGATCAGTGCAGAGAGTGGCTCACTAAAAGCAAAGGTGAACAAATGTATCGTAAAGCAAAACATGCAAAGCGTACGAAAAAAGACATAGTTGGTGCCTCATGTATTAAAAATGACAAAAATAAGATAGTTCTTGAACAAGATGGAGAGAATACTTCAACCGTCTGTTAAACAAAACAAATTCCATCAATGTTTACTTTGACGCTCCACCCATCGAAGGTCCGATTTCAGACATCACTGTAGAGGAGCTTACAGTAGCTCTGAAAGCTATGAAGGATGGAAAGGCAGCAGGGCCCTCTGGAATCACAAATGACATTATCAAAGCATCTGGTACTGCAGGTATCCAAACGTTACTACAACTTTGCCGTGAAATTTTGAGAAATTGCTCAATGCCGACTGAATGGAACTATAGCATGACAGTCCCGCATACCAAGGCAAAGGTGATCCATTGAACTGTTCGTCATATCGGTGTTTACGTCTGTTAGAACACTCCGAGAAAATCATTGAGAAGATTAACGTCGTGCATCACAATCGGAAAATATCAATTTGGTTTCCTAGCGGAGAAATCAACAATTGATGCAATTCACATCCTTTGGCAACTGCAAGAGAAGTACCTCACAAAGCATCAACAACTATCACACATTTTTGTAGACCTTGAAAAAGCATTTGATCGAGTTCCCCATGAAGCAATCAGGTGGAGTCTACGTCGACAACTCATTCCAGAATATCTTGTTCGACTTGTGATGGAAATGTATACGAATACTAAGACTCTTGTCAGCACAACGGTTGGAAACACAGATGCATTTGACATCGGCGTTGGAGTTCACCAAGGCTCGATTCTCAATCCACTGTTATTTATAACTGTGATGGAAGAAATCACAAAACCGATACACACTGGTGACATTTGGAATCTAGTATATGCTGATGATATCGTTTTAACAGCCACGTCTGAGCAGAATGCAGCACAGATGTTTGAAGATTGGAACACCAGACTCGCCGATCATAGAATCAAAGTCAACATCAACGAAACCAAAGCAATGAACACTGGTGAAACCATCCAATCCACAGCTACTGGACGATGGCCCTGTTCAGTTTGTATAGCTGGTGTAGGTAAGAATTCAATCAAGTGTCAGCAGTGTAACCAGTGGTGTCACAAACGTTGTTCAAAAATAATTGGTACTTTATCTAAAGTGTCCAATTTTGTTTGTCCTGCTTGCATCGATCCACAACAACAAATTTGAAATAGCACTGTTTTTGAAGCCATTAAGGTGGAGAAAGTCACATCGTTTCAATATCTAGGGGATGTTCTGGATTGTACTAGAACAGCTGAAGCTGCCGTTCGAGCACGCATACGTGCAGTCTGGAATAAATGGCATCTCCTTGCCTCTATATTGATGCAGCGTGATATCCCACTACCACTATGATCAAGACTTTATAAATCTGTGATACTTCCGGTGTTGTTATATGGTGCAGAAACATGGCCAATGACAACCAAACTGGAACAACAACTTCAACGAACCGACATGAAAATGCTCCGATGGATGCAACGAATTAGTCTGAAGGACCACATCAAATCTACCGAAATTCTTCGTCGTGCTGGTTTAGATGATATAAAGGACGAATGCCGGCAACACCGTCTACGGTGGTTTGGTCATGTCAAACGTGCTATAACTTCTCTTGCAGATGTTGAAGTACCTGGCACACGTCCCAAAGGCCGTCCAAAGAAGCAAACAATCGAGCAAGGCATGAAAGCTCTAAATTTAAATGAAATGGATACAACTGATCGTCTAATTTGGTGCAAAAAGTTGATGGCAAAGAAAACAACGTCCTTCCTCGGGAAACCGGGTCTCTGGACGCAAAACGAAGATTGATTGATTGTTGTTGTGGTTAATATTGTTGTTTTTTGAGTGTTGCGCTGCTTTATGTTATTCCATATTTTTTGTTTTATTTGATGAAATCAATTTACTTTTAAGATATTTTGATAAAATTTTTCAGAAACTTCGGTGGACGTTTACCCTGTACCTCGGTCTCAAAGTGAGCCTTCCATGAATAATCATCCCATTTACGACGTGCCAATAATAGTGATACCAGGTAAATTATTTATGTTTTTCGTTATAAAATCTTCATGAAGTGAGATGACTTGAGTTCAACAAGAAATAAAATAAACCCATTTACGACGTGCCAATAATAGTGATACTAAGTAAATTATTCATGTTTTTCGTTATAAAAGTGAGATGACTGGAGTTCAATAAGAAATATAATAAATTGAAACTCTGTAATGTGTATGTCCAATAATGGCAATATTGGATAAGAAAAAACAATAAAATTTGTTTAAATTGAAAAAAATACAATAATAAACGCGAGGTGTTATAATCACAAAAATGTCCAAGGCTAACATTTTAAATACAAAAACAACTCCAAATTAACTAATTCTTTTATAGATTCTGTCTGTTTTTAGTTCTTTCAAATATAATTTTTGAATTTGTATACTTTGTTTTCAGATTAATTATATCGTTAACGTAAAATATGGCAATTTCCAATTTCTTTTATCAAGCTTTCAATTCTGATAATCTGGTTAACTTTAATCGTTTAAACTATTTTGTGTATCATATTTTATCTATCATCTTCAGCATGCTTGACTCTTTGTCGTAATCTTTTATCTAAAAATTAATTTCACTTAAAAAAATCTTTCTAAATTGAAACATTTTTTCGTGTAATAATAATTTGTATGGATTTCGAATATTACGTAATTACATACGAAGTTATGTTGACGCTGTCGTTATTGCGCTTTTTAACGGTTTTTAACGCTAGTCATTGCGTCGAACATTGCATTTACATTTGAAGTTAGAGAACTATATAGCATCGTTTGTTTGATGCTTACTTACGAACTCGATTGTTAAATTATAATTTACAAAATTGGTGATAATTTGATGATTATTGGTTGTCAGATTAAGTCAGAAATATTTATGGCGAACTCGCCTATAGCGGTTTATAACTCTTTATTATCACAAGGTGAAATATTGTTTGAAACAGTTGTATTGAAAGAATCAGAGCGAGCATTTCTGTATCGTGAAATATAAAATTAGGTAGATATATGTCGTATCGATTTATCATAAATTATATGCAATTAAAAAGCATATAAAACATGTAATAATAACGTTTAGAACCTTGATAAACATTTAGAACACCAATGTTTATCTTATATATATATCACGTTTCCAAAATGTTTCTTGAAATAGAAAAATCGTACTTGTGCAAAAAAATTCAGTTGTTTTTTCTCAATGTTTAATATACTTTAGATACTAAAGCAAACTAATACACTAGATTCTAGCGTATTCTAGAATGTTCTAGGGACTGGAGCATTCTGGAGTATGCTAGAATCTGACCATCTAGAAGAATCTAGAAACGACGCTTGCGAAGAGTATATAAGCGCACGTCGCAAGTGATGTTCGTGATTAGTGATATTGGTGATTAGTGATATTGGTGATTAGTGATATTGGTGATTAGTGATTAGTGAAATTTGTGATTTTGTGAATAGCGATTCGGTGAATTATTTAAAGCGATATTTGATTTGTTTGTTGACGTTGTCATAGCGATAGATTTTGAACGATTTAAAAGTTAATTGTTGCGTTAGTTTGAATTTACTGGAAATAAACGATTAGTTGATTTCTTCTGTAAATAAAGTTTAATAACTAATAATAGTTGATTTCTTCTGTAAATAAAGTTTAATAATTGATTGGAATATTTTATTCAATCGAGGATTTGAACCCGTCGCATCGTAAATCGGTTACGACAGCGAGTATTCTAACATTGGTGTCAAGTGGGATCTTCGACCAGCGAATTACTACTCGAGAAA